ACAGAAAAAACCGCCAAAACATTTCGGCAGATGCAGCGACTAATTGGTCAAAAACTTGGAGAATAAAATTAAGCAACAGCGAATTAATTCATGAGAATTTCACTAACCAAAAAGCAACAGATACAAACTATCCGTATATAATAAAATTTTAAGATACAAAACAACTCTAAAGGCAATATTTGATCCTGTGCCACCTAAATATAAATATAATATAAATATAAATATAATCTAATCTATAATCTAAACATTGTCAACATCTTATGATACTTTCGAAATCCCAACATTCATCGAGATCTTCACATCTTAACAATTGTTAAGAAAATCAAAAGTCAAGCGAAAACTTATAACATTCATGGAATTAAAACAACTAGAGGCTTTTCAATACCAGAACTGTGGCACCAACGATTTTTTCGAATGGATAAAGGATTTAAAAATTTTTTATTTTTAAAAAAAAATATTTCACGACATTAAAGAAAAACTAGTTATTCCTTTTTTTTGTTGTTAAAATATTTGTAATAAAACATACAATTATCTCTGAAATTTTTAAAAACCTTTCAAAAAATTACAGAAAAAGTGACTACACATTAACTTATTCAAACGAAATAATATACATAGTCTATATAAATGGAAAACAAAACAATTACAATCAAATAACTTCCCTATTAAATGGACTAGACTAAACTAACTAGACTTAGTCTGGTCTTATAGTGGCCTGATTTCCTGCAGGGCATGTGCACATAAATTTTTATTTGACTCCATTAATATACCTTATGCATCTTATTAAAACTACAACTAAAAATAAATATAATAAAAACAAATATGTCTGGCGTGCACATTGCATACAAAGTACCTGAGATAACAGAGCAGCATTAAACACATACTACATAACATATTAAATATAATTTAAATCACACTTTTTATTTAAAGGAGCTGGCAATCTTCAAAGGATTTGCAGGTGATAACCAACTTGTGTATGCTGAACGAGCTCGAAATGCTTAAATTAACAACAGAAAGCTCAAAGCAAGAGCAAGAACAGGCAGCACAGCACATTAACATGTAATTTCAGCTGCCAAAAAGCAAAAACATATTTTGCAAATTCTCGATATCCTCCTGGCTTAACAGCAGTCTGTTGAATAAGCAATAAGTACAACACCTTAAAGGATTCATACGATTCATATTCCAATCATTACAAAAAGACCTCATTTCGAGTGTTCCTCTTAAGCATTTAATCCTTGATGCTGCAAGTTGATATGCAAATTTAATGCATACCAAAGCAAGGATTTACAAAGGATTTGTTAAAATACTGAAAGAAGCTTTCATTCCAATCAAAAGGTTGTGCAAAATAGAAGTTAATAAATGCTAGTATAATAAATTTTATTTATACCATATCCAATTTTTTTATTGGAATTCCTTCTAAAATTTATTGGAATTTTAATTGTCAGACAACTGAAGGAATGCTTTACACTTTTGTTGTTATACGTAAGTCCTTTCGGTCATAACTTTCTAATACATTATACATTTGTACTACTTCACTATTTTGTTTAAGGCCTGTAACAGCAATTGAAGAGGTCTTAATAATAAATTATAATTTATTCAAATTTATTTTAAATAGATTTTGACTTTGTTGGAACACAATGTTTCTTATGCATTTCACTGTTTACTGAACCAACACATTTTAAGCACTTCTTAAAAACTAAAAAAAAATTATTTTTTATAAAAATAAATAAATAAAAATATTTTAATATTTCGAAAGTTACTGAAAATATTTAAAATATGTATAATAATTGTTGAATTTACAATGTGAAATGCTTCACTTCCAAAGCCAAACAATCCTCTACTTACTTTGTAGCGAATTCTGTTGCGAATTCGAAATCGTGTCTTGCTTAGCCTGTTAATTACATATCGATCAAACATCGAAGTTCGAACAGACGGAGAACAGAGGTACCGAACAGACGGAGAAGGAAGAAGTGGAATCTGCATGCTCAAAGAATGGAAAATCAGCGCCTGGATGAGATTGCAATGGTAGTGAAACCAAAAGTCGCGAGTTTACCCGGGCGATCGCCGAAAAGATGTGTGAATGCTGGACGTCTGACTCTACAGAAAATGAACATGATAATTTCATATGTCATAATGTAACAAAACAGGATTTAATCCTATAATAAAGAATAATAATAACTACAGAAAACATTTATGGCTACTACCTACATGTTTCTTATACAACAAAACAATTTCAAAGTTTTTAATATTAAGGTAATATCAGAATATATAATAACATATCCTAAAATATATGTAAAATAAAATGTTGCGGTTATCACAGAAACAGGTTTTTTGTATAGAAATATTAGTTGCCTATATATCCAGAAATATTTCAAACCACTATAAGGTAGAATAGGTAAAAGTAGCAGAATATATAAAAAATTGCGTTACATACGGATCCCTTTTAATATCAGAATATAATAATATATTTTATAGGTTATCAATTATTTATACCGTGTATTTATTAGTTTACTATCATATAATATCATATATCGTTTAAATTATTAGTTTGTTTTGGAGCTGGTCAGAACAAGCCTTTTTGACATTGTGTCACAGTCGTTATGTTGATTATATTTATTTATATGTTAATTTAGGATAAATGTAAAGGTACTGTAAAAATGAAATTTTAAAATAAAAATATATACATATATATATATACTTATATGTATATATATATGTTATATACTAGAAATGCGAATGAGAGCCAGATTTAATGACACATTTTAACATATATGCTCTGCTCCGCTTTGATGAGAACCATTTCATGTGGTATGCCTAAAATATTTTATATTCACTTTCAGATACAAAATTATATTCTAATTTTAAGTCATAGTTTTAAAAAAATTTTATATTCGTTTTTTATCAAAGCACACATGCCACAGCGCTTACCGCAGCTCGCCGAAATGACTCCAAATAAACTGCAGGCAAACAATTTTGGTTAGATTAAATATGAAAACTTATGTTGACTTTTTAGACTAATTTTAACTCTGTTTATGAGAACTTTGAAACTCGTACTTTAATTAAAGTACAACTTCTGCTTATGTGCCAGTTTCTTTGCCCTTCCAGCAACCTCAAAACATTTTCTCATTTATTTAGTTTTAGTGAAAAAATTTAGCAAGGAAGAACTAATTTTATGCAGTCATTTTACATTCACTATTCACTGTTCACTCACCACTGGAGTGACTGGAGTGACATGTCCCAACAGGTTAACACACTCCTTTGGCACTATTCCGACGCCTATTCGTAAGTATTTAACTGCTATTCCATTCTGTGTGTTTAGACGAAGTCTCTTTGTAAAACTACTCGTATGTTTGTGTCTTGGAGTGCGTGAATTTGTACGTTAGTTTTGCAATTCAAAACTTGCAACACTAATTGCATGTCAGTTACTAACATTACAAAAGATTGCTAAATAGCATAGCACACACTTTAATGGAAATAAGTCTAAAGGGAGCGTTGGGATCTGAGTTGTAACTGCAAACTAAAGCAAAGACGACAGCACCGAGGACTATATTTTCTGGTTCTTGATATAATTTTGTTTCAAACTTTCTCCTTTGTTGTTGCAATTTTTTCTATTTTGTGACTTTGTGCGCAAACACAACAGGATAATTATAAAGCAATTTAAATTTTCCGTCCGGCTTCAGTTGCACTCATCACAGTAAATGCGTTCGTTCGTTCACTTCAGCGTACACTAAGAAGCAATTTCTGTGTTCACACATTTCTGCGTATCCTCCACTGCGTAGTGTCCTCCTCACTATGCCTGCACAAATGATGCAAGCAATTAGCTGCGCTCATTTTGTCAACTTGAAGCTAAACTTCATTTATACCTTAATTGACGAATACCCGTATTTCTAGAATCATTATTTAGTAACAATAGCCAATGTGCCATGCGCTCGTATAAATCATATGTCCTTAAATATAGCACCAAATTTTTTTCAAAAACTTCATTGCTACAAACATAATAAGTAATACACTTTTTAGGATCTGTGAGGTATATAGTCTATATGTATAAATGGAAATATTGACTTATTTCCGCATAAAACGACAATTGTCTAATGAATTGCAATTATTTTTAAAACAAAACCATTATTCAGTATCGAATACCAGTCGTTGATGTGTTTTATTTATATGACTACACACAAATAGTTCTGATACATTTTACTTACATTTTTTGCAATTTTAATCAAAATTTTATTTTAACAGAAAATTTGTAGCTAATATATATTCGAAAACGTAGATTGGTTTTCGACAATTACTTTGCACTAGATCCCTTTCTTATAATCTATTAATTAATTGATTAGTATTAAATGTGTATGAATCCACAATAACTTCCTTAAGAAAGTTAATCGAATACAAAAAACTGAAAAACTATATACTTCATATTAAAGGATATAGTATATTCTCTATATACTTTACTTCATATATTGAAGTATATAGTTAAGCAGGATTACACATGACTTTTATGAACTCCGAAGTATTATATACATATTAAAAAAAAACTATATAAGCATTTTAGCGACGCGAATCCTATTTGAGAAAGGGTTTCAGTAGACTCAACCAGACCACTCATCTACTTATTATTGATAAGCCTCACGTAAAAACATTTAACTTTAAAGCCTGAAATTAGGCCATACTGACAGTAAAAAAAGTCATTCAAAATATATAGTTGTCTTTACTAAAATCCATCAAAATGGCTTGTCCGGGAAATCGAAATAGCGTTATTTTATTCTAGTTAATTTTTTTTCATAAAAATGTAATATGTTGTATTAAGTATTTAATTCTTTCTACTGTGGGAAGAAATATATAATTAAATGATTGAAAATTTATATTGTACTCAAATATGATGACTCATAAAAATATTTGTTTACCGAACGTTTAAAAAATCTTAATTATATTAAGAGCCTACTTACGGAAATGGTTTTGTACACAAAATTAAATTTCCAAAAATCAAAAATAAATGAATTTTTCTCTGAAGTCTTGCAAATAAATGATTTTGGTAGCTTTCAAACCCACACAAATGTTACAAGTCATTT